GCCACATAAAGCAAGACTCAGCAAAACTTCAGAAAACATACTGCCCGGAAAAATCTTTGGTACTTTCCATGACCCAGCAAAAAGACTCTTACCATACACATAATGGTATCACCTAAGTATAATCTGAATTACAGCAACCAAAGTCCCTCCCATAAGAGCCTCAACTAAAGCACAACCTGTGCAAAATAACCTAATGGTGCACAGAAGACTGACACATGCATTGTAGCAACCTAGTTATGAGAATCTTAAATCTTACAATAACTTGTAAGATCATTTTTACAATTGTTTATTGGCACAATAAACAAGTGTTTAGCAAACAAATTTGCAAAGCAGCTTTTAAAAGGGCAACAAGGTGGCCAGGCTCTTCTCTGTATTTATCATTTTGTTTGTTTCTAATTACTTCCTTAAAGTAGAAAGCCACAGGAAGACTAGATAAACTTACTGAAAGAGTTCCATCGCAGGCATAAAAGCAGATGAAATTCTGTACAGTATATTATGGGCAATATTCTTAGACTAGTTAGGTGCAAAACTGTGATTTCCCCCTCTAAGGCCTATAACTAAAATGAGGAAGAAACTAAGAAACAGAAATCAGAAGCAAAAAAAGAAAAACTAAGCTTCAAATGAGACAAAAGAAACGTTCTTCAGGATCAAGGAAACCAAAGTGGTGGCAGTAGAACTCAGAGCTGTAATCCACTCACATAAAAACAGTGAAAATCAAACAGAAGATGAAAATACTAGAGTTCAAGAGGCCACAGAGAACAGTAGCATCGCAAGGGCAACACATTGTTTAATCACTGTGAAATTCCAGATGACAGCACTCAAGGACAGAGAGGGAGGGAGGCACCAGTGCCTGAAAAAGAAAATGTGAAGAGCACAGGCAAAAAAAAAAAAAAAAAGAAAAAAAAGTCAGGCTCTTTTAGTAGCAAGAAGCAGTGAAAGCTTGAGTGAAAATGGAAAACCAAAACCAAGAGATTCCAGGGTTTGCTCAAGCAAAATTGCAATGACCAAGGAACTGATTCTTAATGGTGTATTTTAATTATTAATATTATTCAATAAAGACTATTACAGCTTATAACTCTGCTTATCCTGACAATTTCTACTATGACATCTGCCTTGATGTTTTAGCAAGGAAGACCAATATGTCTGCAAGAGTTACAAAACACTTCACCCCAAGATACACAAATACGTCTACCAGAAACAATAACAAACTTTACTCAGCAGATACAGCTGTCCAGTTAGCAATAAAGGAAAGCTCTGCATACCACTTAGAATGAGTTTTGTCCTTGGAACACAGATTCAACCTCTTACAGGATATTACAGTCTTCTTAGAGTTAAAACTCCTATTAAGAGCTTCGAAAAAATCAAATATAAAGGAAAGCACTGAGTTTAATGTAGCAGCATTGAGTGCTGGATGAACTAATAAAAACAATACAGCTGTCTTAGATTTTAATTGACAGTCTAGCAAGAGTAGGCTCAAGTTTTCCAACAATTCTGGCCATGAAAACAAAAAATTTATGGTTTCTCTTACAGAAGAAAATAAAGTAGAAGTGTCTCTCTGAAAGCACCATTTAAAAATTTCTGAAGTGTGATGGAAGACAATTAGTATGACAAATTAATTTATCTCCAACACCAACATAATATTTTCTCCAGTATAAAACTGTGGATATTTCCAAGGCCTCCAAGGTTCCTGGCTGCAGCTGAGTAACTGTTCAGCGTAACATTCCAGCAGCTCAGAATATATGCAAGAGTAAGGTGAACATGACATTAGAAAAAAACGATTAAATAGCTAACTGGATCTCAAGAAAATGTATTAAAATTACCAACTAGCCACTCTTGACTCTTGACAGGATGTTTGATCTTACCAAAGCTAACAAAACAATTGTTTTTACACTACAGGTAGTCAGCCACTGCATTGCCTGCAAGTACACTTTCCCCTTTTTCAAAAAACAGTGAACTTCCTGGTCTTTTGGAAAACAGGACTGTGACTATGCAGTTATACTTCTGTAAAGTAGCATACCAACAGTCTTCAACACACTAGGATTCATACGAGGGTATTTGTACAGTGGCAGCGGTTATGATTTATGATATGCAAAGATCTGATCTGTTGCAAAGAGGATGTAACACAAACCACAAAGGAACTACACACTTCAGCCTGTATTGGGCACCGCATAATGAAGACCATACACTGGAGATCCTGAACATTTTCAGCCAATCTTTTCATTCTGGCAGATTTCGCAACTTTCCTTTGCAGAAATATTCTGCCCTTGAAAGATAACGTATCTAGCAACAGCCTACAACAAAGTATCTACAAATATCTGGTTGCACACCATGGCCGTCTTCCCCTGCCATCATTATAGATCTAAACGCAAAATTATTAAAGCTTTCTTGAATCTGCTCACATCACTATTTATTCCACATGCTGTGAGACTGAACGATGCACAGCATTTTCAAACATGTAATGCTGGAATGCGGAAGATTATTATTACTGGAATTCACTGCTATTATTAGGTACCTCTGGAAAAGATACACTTGTGTACACCACTTTCAGTTGGTCATGTCAAAATATAGAGCATCGTTAAATTATGTGTTTTGGGTTTTGCAAAGGTGGGGAAGAGCACTAGCATTATAGTTGTTTTGTTTAATTGCTTATGTGATATTCAAAATATAAAAACTGGGGAGGGGTGGGGGAAGAAAAAGCTGATTTCTCAATATTGAAGTTTAATGCATAGTCCATAATCATATTTCTAGGTACTTTAACTGGACTACAGTAATTTAGTATATTAGTGTAGTCTGTATGCCTGTGTCCTCGCATACGAGCATTTTAATCTACTAATTTTCCTTTATGAATCAGGAACAATTCTAGCCTCTACTGAAGACTTAAAGCTCTCAGAACGTAGTAATAGGGCCCTGTATGGTGATAACCGAGAGAGTTACTACAGTCCCATAAGAAAATATGATACCATTCTCTAGAGCAATGTCATCCAAGGAAGCTTCTTTTCTCTGCACCTTGATCGTAGCCATCAGGCAAGTCTCAAGTAGAATCTACTACACATTGCAGGACACATCGAGACTCAGTAGGTTGAGTCTGCTACACAATATCTTTTTTTTTTTTTTTAAAGTTTAAATAAGGACAATAAAAATCTACCTGATAGGGTAGCTGACTTCATATAATATGGCCATTACTTACTGAAAATTCTGAATAAATGCATAGCCACATCTTTTTTTCTCCCCCCCCCCCCCCCAAATAATTGCTTTCTAGGACTTGATATTGCATTTTTATCTTTTGGAAAAGAACGATTAGTAAGCCTCTTGAGCCATGATTTCATACTTTTAGAATAAATAAAATAGTCATAGTAGACTGATACATGAGCCTAGCTCCTCTCTCGAACACAGGAGCAAACTTCCAGGCCAACTTCTGGGAATGACAACTTTCCTTATAGGTGCCAAATGGAAGCTTTAAAGTACTTCTAATGATAAGAAGTTTAATTGTGTTGATTTCTGTTCATAAATGAGAAGGGCTTCCAGTGCACTACATAATGACAAGAAAAACTACTACAGAAGGAATACAACAACACGCAATATTTAAAATGTCTTGGAGAGCTATAGCATGTGTATGATGCAGTCTAAATGGTTACTGTCAAAGCAGTAAGTGTTTTAAATGGTTAACATTTCTGTTCACACTAAGTACTTGCTCCTCCAGATAGCGTATTTTCACAGACTCACAGGATAGCTGAGGTTGGACAGCACCTCTGAAGACTGCCTAGTCTAATCCCTCAGCTCAGAGCAGGGTCAACAAGAGCAGATTGCTAAGGGTCATGTCCAATCGGGTTTTGAGTATCTCCAAGGATAGAGATATACAAACTACACAAGCTCTGAGCGCAACCCGTTCTATTGTTTGACCATCCTGGGAAAAAAGTTTTTTTATTACATTTAAATGGAATTTTCTGTATTTCAATTTGTGACCATTTCCCTTCAGTGACCATCACTGAGAAGAGCCTGGCTCCATCTTCTTCATTTCCCCCATTAGGTATTTATACACATTGATAACATTTGCCCTGAGCCTTCTCTTCTCAAAAAGCCCCAGCTCTCTTGGCCTTTCCTTGTACAACAGATGCTCCAGTCCCTCAGTCATCTTTGTGGTCTTTTGCTGGATTCATTCCAGTATGTCCATGCCTTTCTGGTACTAGGGAGACCAGCACTGGACACAGTACTCCAGATGTGGTTTCACCAGTGCTGCCCTAAATCTAAAATTGCCAAGCTTTAAACATTACTTTATCTGAAATTCTTCATCCTCTCTCATATTTCAGTTGTTAGAGATAAAAAACAACACAACTTTACCATTTTTCATACGCAGATTATCAGCAACTCAAGTGTTTAGAAAACTATTTTTTACCTTCTAAAAACATACAAAAGCAAATTTTATCCTAATCCTTTGAACCAAAACACAGACTAATTGAAGAGTGGACAAATGAGCCAGCTATCTAAAGATCCTCCAAGAGTAAGGAGGATTTAACCACAACACTAAATCAGAAAAAACAAAGTCACATTTCTCTAATCTGGTCAATTATACTAGTTACTGTTTAGAGATACCTAATAAAATAACAGACAGACTTCTTTTATCATGGCTTAATACAGAATTCTTCCTAAAAGAGAAAGAAACAAACACAAAGCATATACAGATCATAAGTGAGTCTAAAAATGGTCATGAGATTGTCTTAGTCATAACATTTTATTAGAAATATTGGGGGGGATTTGCGACTTTTAGCTTTTAGGACTCATGTTTTCAAATTTGTAATATCAAGGAAGGCTGTAAACTTATCTTGAAAATTAGATACTCTTACAGTTGCGTGTTCTTAGAGCTGAAGCTTTAAGAAAAAACAACAAACACAGGTATCTCAAAACTCATAAAATTAGTTAGACACACTGGAAAACTTAACATGATATAGAACACTGTTACTGAAAGAAAGGCCAAGATGCAATAGCAATAGTTTTTAACTTACATTTCAGTGTTTCTCCAGCATAAGGGATATGTAGCTTAAACCGATCACAGCTAGGTCCAGGGGTCAAGGATGTACAGCTAAAAACGAAGATAAGAGAAGAATGTGCTAAGCAGTTACAGATGGTAGCAGATGCTAATGTTATTCTACAGGGTACAAACGACTGACATAGTAAAGATGTGAATACTAGAAATACTCATCCTTACGATTCTGAAAAAGAAGAAAAGGTGGGAAAGATGCAGGAGGCCCATTCTCTTTTGATCAGCAATTCTCACAACAGCATGAGAAACTTCAGGATCTGTGCCAACAATCCTTCCCATTTTAACACAGAAAATATACACATAAAATGTCCTTGTTTGAGACAGTTATTAGAATAATATCAATTAGTCAAAGCCATAAAATTCTCTACTTTGTATACAATTTTGCAGGTCACAACTCTCTACCTATGCCACAGGTACATGGTTACATGCTCCCTATCCCTGCCATCCAGATACCTGGGATGAATCTTAGTTTTAATACATCAAAATTCAGTCATTTTTACCTATTTTAACCTTTAATTTTTCCTTTGTGGAAAAGTCTCACAGTAAGCCTCCAGTGAGAGTTTCAGAATCAGGTATTTGATGCTATGACAACTGACCATTTCATATCTCCTGTTTATCTGGAACACCGCAATGGCAATTGGGTCTCACGGTGATGAGCAAGCATTTTATGAACATAAATGTCACTGAAAAACAGTTTAGTGTCTAGGCCAGAGATGATCAACTTTTTCACACCTTTTAAGTCACATACCAAAAATCTTTGCATAAAAAAGAACCAAATATCTCAGCTGCAAAAGGAGAAACAGCAACACATTGTTTCACTGGCAGGAATGGTCCTGGAGCTCTCACCACTGTGGGCTGGTGGCATATGACAGGTCTCAGTCGCAAAAATACTGGAAGCCCTTAGCAATTCATTGCCTTCCATACCTAGGGATCCTGATAACCCAGAAGGCTTCTTGCCAGCCTAATATCACTGAGAATTGTTTACAGCCCCAGCACAAGAGCTAGCTTGTTGCAAGCCACGTAAAGCTCAAAGCTAAAGACTGGCCAACTCTAGACAAAACAGTGAAAAGAAGGTAGACAAAGGTAAAATAAATTACCTAAGCTCATATATCAGATCACTGGTAGAGCTCTAATACAAACCACTGACAATATAATAAAAAATAAAAGACATGCTTACTGGGCCATACACACAGCCAAAAGCAAAAAGATGGGTAGGCCAGAAAGTACAAAAATTCTGATCCTACCTTATCAGATACAACACGGTAACTCCTGCAGCTCTATCTGTCTTACTGCAGAAGAGGCATCAGGGCAAACGGGGCAAGGTTAATTCACACTAACGTACTCAAAATGCTTCAGAGAGCCATTTCTCTCAGATGCTGGCTCTATAGTCTCTTTTCTCTTTACACCTGCAAGTTAAGGAAACCACGTGCACTAGCTTCAGATTGTTTTTATTCAGTGAGCTACGTTTACAATCAATTTTGTGCCCACACATAGCTTCAAAAAGAAGCAGCCACAGAACTACAGATCAATTAACTTAAATGAAGTTTCCACAAAAATACCAGAAAACATAAGCAAACCACTTGTGAGCACCTAGGATCTAACACAGATACAATTAACAGCCTACATTGATTCAACAAGAATACACCACATTTTTTCCAGTATCATTACAGAAATTAGGTAACTATCCTTGCAAACAAAAGGGAAGCAACAGATGTCCTATCTTCACTTTAGAAAGGTTTTTGCAATGTCTTGTGAGAGCACCATGCAAAACAATCTATAGAAACATAATTTAGATACAACTACTATCAGATGTGTGCAGAGCTGACTGGAAAGCAAGTTTCAGAAAAGATTAGTTCTCATCTTGCCTCATCCGGGAAGAACACACTGACTGGGTTTTCTTCTTGTAGAATACTACTTTGCATTTCATTGAAAGACTGACAATGGAAAACAGATGATGTTTATTAAACCTGACAATGATGCCAACATGAAAGTGAACGCAGCATGCTGGACGACAGGACCAGAGCTGAAAAATGTTTTGATTTAATGGTCTGGACTACTTCTTTTTGAATTACATGTAGGTAGGGCTTAGCAAGAACAGTAAGCATCACCACCATCGCTGGGAGTAAAATCAGTTTGAAAGATTGGAGCTCCAGTGCAACAGAAACAAGAGAATATAATTTTTTCAAAGATGTGGTTTTTTTAGTAGGTGAGAACAGCAAAACAGGAGCGCCCATTTTTAGGGGCATCCACATCCACAATGGCTGTGTATGAATTTAACAGCTATAGGTATGAGAGTATTATTATCTACTTTCAAATCATTTCTAAGGCTTACATCACATAATAAGGCCAATTCTAGGAAGCACACAAAAAAAAGCAACACAAAAAAGTCCTTTGCAAGTTCCAAAATATCTCTGCAACATCAGTTAATATTTAATGGAAGTTTCTTTCAAAGTATCACAGGTCACAGTCTGAGGCACATTTTTCAAATACCATCAAAATAACATTGTTGTTGGCTTTTCAACAGACAAAAATTTCTGATCCTGCAAATACCCTACAATCTTTTCTTTTAGCACAATGGGCCATTTGGAAATACTTAGGAAAAG